GTGCCGCGTGCGCGCTCACCTGGCACTGGCTCCTGGCGAGGGCGACCTGGCGTCCTTTCCCTCCTCGCAGTGTCAGCTGGAGCCCAGGTTGGCACTGCGGCGTTTCTGCGCGGGGAGGTGAGGGTGAGCAGGTGGGTGGTCAGGGGCTGGAAAAATAAGGCGAGTGCAGACCTTTCGTATTGGGCGCTTTGGAACCAGCGGGCTGCCTTCGCCCGCTCTAGGTCCCGGGCTGCTCGATGCCCAACCCTTGCTTGTTCAGCGGGCCTTTCTGGTCAGCTTCGTCCGTGTGAGGAATGAGTGGGTTATTTGAGGGGTGGCACGGTTCAGGGACAGAACCAGTCCCCCTCCCCGTCTCCCTTCCTTCTCTGCAATAGGAAATGTGCTTCTGCAAGGTAGCCTGAACTTGTCTGCCCATTGTTTTCAGCGACAGTTAAGAGTGTGCAGTGCACTTAGTGAAGGTACAAATGCTTTAAACATTCAATAGTTGCAGGTCACACAGCGTGTCGACCTCTGTTACCATTTGTTTCTTAGGAGTAGTGTTTAGTTGTGTGGCCATCGCAGCATCCAAAAATAGTGACCTCCCTCCCCTTTGTGGTGTGTATTTGTGTTTGAAATTAAGGTTCCTTTTTATTGATTTTCCAATTTCAAAAATGTTTAACCCGTAAAGTAACAATTTACATATAGATTGCTATGTGCTATCTTTTCTAGCCACATCCATGTAGTCATAACATAATTAAATACACTGAGTGGCCAGATTATTATGACCACCGACTTTTGTCGGCAAATTAGCTCTAATTTCGTGCTGAAGTTGCTAGAGGGCCAGATCATTATAAACGTCTGAATAGCACAACATACCTAAGTATCGTTGCTGATCAGGTTTATGCTATCATGTTGATGGCATATCCCAATGGAGATGGCTTCTTCCAACAAGACAATGCACCATGCCATGGTGCTCGTATGGTGCAGGAGTGCTTTCAAGAACACAAGGGAGACTTTACCTTGCTTAGGTGGCCCCCACAATCACCAGATCTCAACCCAATTGAGCATTTGTGGGACGAAGGTAAAAGAGCCATCAGGCAGCTGGTTCCACAGCCATCAAATCTCACAGAACTGGACAGTGCTATTCATCAGGCAGGTGTCAGATTCCTCGCATCACCTTTCAACATCGCGTGGAGTCAATGCCAAGAAGAATTGCCGGAGTACTGAAGGCAGAAAGTGGCCCAACGAAGTACTGATGGGGTGGTCATAATAATCTGGCCACTCAGTGTATAGTTAATTGAAGCTGGTAAAACAGAAGGACCAGCTTAAGGTAATAAGCCTGAGAGAAAACTTGCCACAACTGCAAGTTGTTAAAAAGTCTGTGGAAGATCATTGTGTTCTTAAAGAGAAGTGTCCTCGTTGTGAACTTAGGTTTGAGTGAAGATGGATCTCCTCTGTGTAGTTTTGTAAGGTTGGGGTTGTCCACCAGGAAAGGGTAAATATTACTCTCACACAATCTGACCAGATGCCACTTGCTGGTGAGGTCCCTGTGTTCTATAAAGCCCGGCTCTGGAGGACTAGACATCGATGCCACCACCCCAATCAACAGTGAGTTCGTCTTCCAGAATACTAGTATCAATTTTACAAGTCTCAAAAGGAGCTAGGTTGCCAAT